GCCTGTAACCCCAGCTATTCAGGAGCCTGAGAGACAAGAATCGCTTGAATCTGGGAGGCAGAGGTTGCAGTGAGCTGAAATCGTGCCAGTGCACTCCAGCCTGGGTGACAGAGCGAGACTCCATCTCGAAATAAATAAAATAAATAAAGGAACCATCAGCGCTGCCTTCTCATTTCTCTTTCTCTTTTTTTGAGGCAGGGTTTTGCCCTGTCGCCCAGGCTGGGGTATAGTGGCACAATCGTGGCTCACTACAGCCTTGACCTCCTGGGCTCAAGCAATCCTCTCACTTCACCCTCCTGAGTACCTAGGACCACAGGCATGTACCACCATGCCCAACTAATTTTTAAAATCATTTGTAGAGATCAAGTCTCCCTCCATTGCCCAGGCTGGTCTAGAACTCCTGTGCTCAAGTGATCCTCCTACCTTAGCTTCCCAAAGTGTTGGGATTACAGGTGTGAGCCACCGCACCTGATCTTCTCATTTCTCATATAGAGGAAGAGAAAGTAAGATCCCAGGGCTGCTGAGCCTCTCAGAGTTGCGGAGATCCACCTCTCCTCAGGTCATCTCACCCGTCCCCGTCTCCACTTCTCTTACCAGACTTCCTTTCCAGCTCTTCCAGAAGAAGGACAGATAGGGGTCTCCTTCCCCTGCCTCCTGGACCTTCTTCTTAGCCCGCTGAAGAAATCAGGCCCCAGCTCCTTTATATCAGGCATAGACCTGCTGATTAGCCTAAAAGCATCTTATCTCAAGAAATTAAGCCCACAGCTCCTGCCACATTAAGTCCATTTTACACATAATAGAGTTGCCCTTTCCACCTGAACTCTGCTAATTGGTGATTAACATTTGGCTATCTCCAGCTGCTGTCTGAGGCCTGCCTGTGGGCAGGGTACCCTAAGTACCCCCTTTTTCTCCCCCCTCCTCCCTTCTGGGAACAGGGCCCACTACTATTCTTCTATGCCCTACTTCCTTTATAGTTGCCCTCAGTTAGAAAGGGTATTGGTAGGGCAAGCACAATGACTCACACCTGTAAACCCAGCACTTAGGAGGCCAAGGTGGGCAGATCACCTGAAGTCAGGGGTTTAAGGCCAGCCTGGCCAACATGGTGAAACATCATCTCTACTAAAATTACAAAAATTAACCAGGCATAGTGGTGCACGCCTGTAATCCCAGCTATTTGGGAGGCTGAGGCAAGAGAATCACTTGAACCTGGGTGGCGGAGGTTGCAGTGAGCCAAGATGGAGCTCACTGCACTCCAGCATGGGCAACAAAGCAAGACTCTGTCTCGAAAGAAAGAAAGAAGAGGCCAGGTGCGGTGGCTCACACCTGTAATCCCAGCACTTTGAGAGGCCGAGGCGGGTGGATCACTTGAGGTCAGGAGTTTGAGACCAGCCTGATCAACATGGTGAAACCCCATCTCTAATAAAAATACAAAATTAGGCCGGGCACGGTGGCTCAAGCCTGTAATCCCAGCACTTTGGGAGGCCGAGGCGGGTGGATCACGAGGTCAAGAGATCGAGACCATCCTGGTCAACATGGTGAAACCCC